AGAAATCTCTGGTAAAGATTCTGACATCTCGCCCTTTCCCATATCATCAATGGTCTGGTTTTCAAAGAAGATCATATCTCTGTTTCTGAAAACTTTCTTCTCTACAGGATCCCAAAGTCTGTACCCAAAATCATCATTGTCGCCATCAAGCTTCGACCTTTCATCTTTGGGAATGTGAACAAAGGCATGACAACCAAAAACTCGCAAATGTCCAAATGAGACATCTTTCCCTGTCCAAACTCGATGTGGTAGATCACCATCCAACGGAACTGAGGGAGATAGGTTGATCAAATCAACTGTTGTCTGCATAGCTTCACCCCAAAAAGATTTAGGCAGCTTTGCATTCGAGAGCATACACCTAACCTTTTTGGTAATAGTTCTGTTTATTCTTTCTGCCTCACCATTCTGCTACGGAGTCTTTGGAACACTCTTCTGAAATTTAATGCCATGGTCTCGACAATACTTCTCAAACGGACCCCTGTACTCACCACCATTATCTGCTCGAATACACTTCAACTTCTTGCCAGTCTCTCTTTCAACTCTAAGGTGAATTTTTTGAACACATCTAATACTTGGTCTTTACATTTTAAAGAAAAACACCAAACCTTCCGAGCATAATCATCAATGAAAGTAACAAAGTACAATGCACCACCCATCGACCTATCTTTCATGTAACATACATCTGTATGAACTAACTCTAGAGGGCTGGAGTCTTTAAATGGAGGAGAATTTTGAAAAAAAATCAGAGAGAATTACTAAAGGGAGAAAAATAAGGAGAGTAATTTTAAAAAAAGTGCCCCTGTAATGGATGGTACCAGGAATGTTATAACCTTTTTTCCATTCGATCCCTTTTAACTCTTCAGGTATTGAGCTGGAAAACGGATTATAAACAATCGTGATTAGCGCAGATGTCATAACTAAAACTATCAACCGTTGAAGAAAAATGCCAAACAAATCAGGAATAGGACTCCATTGCTTAAAGGAGGGTAGTATTGAGCCTGAAGTGCTTTCTCAAAATCAGTCTTTGACATAGAATGCAGAATCTGACAAACAATGGTGTATTTGATTCTCTCGGCCAGACATGAACAAACAAGACGAATTAAGAGAGAATGTGTCATGTCACCTAATTCAGAGGCTGAAACTCTGATATAAGCATCCTGGCCTCCACTTAGGAACCTCCCTATATCTATCAACTCACCATACCAGGTGATGCAACCACTTCCGCCATCGGTAACATTAGCACTTGCATAAGCTGTGCACGAACAATTTTTTAAGCACAAATCAGTACATTCTTTCAATCCCAGAACCCGATTTACATTTGCATTCTTCGTGTCTGGAACCTTAACAGATGTCAACTTTATGAACCCGACATCATTTCCGCAAATTTGTTCTCCAGGCTTTCTTGTGCATCCATTGCTTGCATCCCTCAAGACCCATTCGCTTTTGACTTTAGGTTCATAGCCGGGAAGACATTGACACTCAAATTCACTCCGATCGTAGACCACAGTGGCTGTGATCATCGCATTGGTCACTTAGGGCTGGCCAAAAACTTGTCCACCTACGGCCCTGTTGCCATGTTAGTGTCTCCAGGTTCCCTGATTCGTTTAATGTCATCCTTTAAAGATGGAGGGATCACGAACACCATTTGTAAGACTCACTTTATCGGCATTCTCAACGTATATAGGAATTAGAATGAAGTTTGTATTCATGATATTTAATTTGTACTAAATATTACAATAGCACCAAATTCCCTATATCCATGAGCTGGACGAAAGAAGAATTGGCAGCAAAGGAGCCCGAAATAGAAACATTTGTAGACCAAATCAGCATATTGTTATTGCTCTGATCCCGAAGAACAAGATTTCCGGGATTTTCAATGGACAGAATTCCGTGGCTGCCATTGATGGGGTTATCCCTATTTGCAACCAAAGCAACAGTTCTTTCTGAAACTTTGTTGAAACAAATTCCAAGATAACGATTCAGGGAATTTCCGGGGCTGAAGAACCCGAAGGCGTAAGAATTTCCACTGGAAACTAATAAATCTCCATCTTTGAAAATCTGATTTTGTAATGCTATCGTTGGAACTGCAATAATTGAATAGAAAACTTGAAAAAAAAAAATGTTTTTCATTTTTCGTGTATGAACGGTATTAAAATTCTAGTCAAGGTTGCAGTCTGGATTGATTGACTAGTTTAAACTTCGAGTGTAAATAAAATCACTGTCATTTCAGGGCCCTTTTCCCGTTGACTTGTGGAAATGGGCGAGTTTCAACTGTGAACACTTTCAATTGTGCAAATAGCCGAATCACAAATGTGAACACTTTCAATCAAGGATTTCATTTTCATATGAATAGTTTTGTTTCTACGTGGGAAAAATTAGAGCCGGAAATGCAAAGAAATCTTTTTTTTAAAAAAAAAAAAAAAAAACAGGTCTTGATTAGTTGCTTAAAATACAAGTATTATTTTGTCTCTGAAATTATTATCCAGTTTTGATTATTCGTATATAGTATTGCTCTATCATATAGTAAATCTGTGTATGTAAATGTAGTTTTAGTTAGTTACGGCAGTTAGCGTAATTTTAGCCAACTTATTTTGTTGTAAGCTTTTATATAACAACAAAATCCTAGCAGTCAATCAAACGGCAGAGAAGTATTGCCGTTTTCAATCTTATTTCGTTCTTCTTTGCTTTCTTTTATATAATACAAATTAAAAAATAAAAATTCAAACTAGACAATCATTTCAGTATGAAAGGAGTACCAAATATAAAGTGTTAGTCATTACGTACGTGAGAAGAGAAGCAATCGAGATGTCAATGAAGTAAAAATTAGAGAAACACGAGTTTCAAATGGAGTAGGGCCATGAAAAAGACAGTAAAAATGAAGGATTGAATAAGTGGTAGTCCAAACACTAAAGCCCATTCTTAATGGTTACTTTGAGTTCACACTAAAATTATCTGAAAGGCTGTGAATAACACAATTTTATCAACATTATTCAAGATTTGTACGAGCTTTTTCAACTAGTGCGAAAGTTCTAAGGAAAGTCTTGGAGGTGAAAACTCCGACATAAAAATATTAATTAGCGAGCTTGGATTGCGGTGATTTGTTACATCGTTCAAAGAAGCTCCTAAACTAATCGATGATGAATCTGAGGGAGAAGTGTTACTACGAGAATTAAGGCATGTATGGATGATGGTTTGTTTTAATTTTTTATTTAGTTTTTTGTTTGAGTTTGAGATGTGTTTTAAGAGAAAAATTTTTAAAAAATATTTAATTAAAATAATATTATTTTTCTACCATCACCATTCACCTGTCCCGGTGGATCGCTCTCTGCGGTCGCTGAATGGACAAAAATTGTGTAAAAATAATTTTTAAAATATTTTTTAAAAAATAAGTCAAAATGTTATTTGGATAGTGTATTGAGTTTTGTATTTAAGAGAGAAAATGAGACAAAATGCAAAATGAGAGGTTATCCAAACAACCCCTTCAATGACGAAAATAGGTTTTTTAGGAGAAACTGAAGTTGTCAGAAATTCTGTCCTGAGAGATGATGCCTAAAGACTTCCAATATAAAGCCCAATAAACAAGTAAAAAACCCATATCAACTTAAAATCTCAACGTGATAGATTTTGGACCAACTTACTTATTAATCGATCTCTATTGTTTCCACATATCGATGTAGAGCAAATTAATCTACTCATGATCCCAACAATTTCCTCCATCATGAGTAACTCACCACATCAAAGCCCAAGTTTTTTTTTTTTTTTTTCAGTTGTAGCCGCACAACTCACCACATCAAAGCCCAATTCTTTTCTATTCAGATACACCATATCTTTCATTCATTTTCATCAGAGTTCATCTGAGTAGCCATTGACCATTACAATGATAAAGAAGCAGTAGTAGTACATACATATATACATCCTAAGAAGATCCATTCATGAGACGAATTATAGAATCCTTGCTTTGACATTACCCTGAATTATACAGCCACCAAATATAGTTCCCCAACTGATACTTTCGGCTCAATTTTTCCATGGCGGCTACAAAGCTTAAAGCCTCCTCCAAATAAGCCTACACAAGTTGTGTTTGTATGTGGAAAATGTTTCAACGTCGAGGTTGTCACGGTCGTTGTTTGGTTCATTAAATAGTCAGAAACAAAATTAACGTAATTACATTGAATACAAGTTGACCTGTTTTGGCTGTGTATCTCATCGCACGTCCTAGTTGAATGACATTGTTACTTCAAAATAACAAACGCGAAAAACAAAGCTCATTACAACATAAAAATTCTCCTTTACCGAGCTTGAATTACAGTAATGGTCTCATCATCCACAGACGCTCCAAGACTAGCAGATGATGAATATGGATGGTTATGACTTTGGTTCCGAGCCCTTTCAATCACAAATGCAGGTTCTTTCGGGGAGGCTGATGTGATTGATGTTTCATTACATAACATGGAAAGCACTGTGGACATGGTCGGCCGATCCCCTGCATGTTCTTGAACGCACAGAAGTCCGATTTTAATGCATTTTTCGACTTCTTCGTGGTTATATGAATCCCCCATGGCTGGATCTACCAAATCCAGGGCCTTCCCTTCTTTCCACAGCCTCCATACCTGAAAGTGATTTAACCACCAAAATTATGTATACTCAATAGCTGAAGTTTTGTGCTTAACTCCTGGGAGACCAATTGAAGCTGCTCTGTCAGTAAAAAATTATACTAATATAGAAATGAACTTACATGTCCGATTAGATTCAAAGTGTCGTCACTCAATTGACTGTGACTTTTCTTTCCAGTAATGATTTCCAACAACAGGACGCCATAGCTAAACACATCCGACTTTTCTGAAAAGAGCCCTCGCATTGCATATTCTGGTGACATGTAACCACTGGAAATGAATAATGGAATGCGTAAACTAATTAGTCCTTTTGTTTCTCATTTCACAGTTTGAACACTGAACTTAGTGTTCAGGTTACTTTCAAATATTATAACAACTCATGGCTTACTATGTCCCAACTACTCTGTGTGTTCTTGCCTCCATCTGGTCTGCTCCAAAAATTCTAGCCATCCCAAAATCTGATATTTTTGGTTCCATGTTTGCATCCAGCAATATGTTACTGGCTTTCAAATCTCTATGTATGATTTTCAGTCGTGAATCACGATGAAGATATACAATTCCCCGGGCAATGCCTGTGATTATCTCGAATCGTTTTCTCCAGTCCAGGATTGCTCCTTTGTCTCTGTCTGCAAGATAGTGCACATAGGATGAAACCAATGCTAAAATTGCATGCACAAAGACAATACTGATTGTTACAGGAACATAACCAAACAAAAAAAAAAAGAAAAAAAGATTGAAGCATACCAAAGATGAAAATATCCAGTCCTTTGTTAGGCAAGTATTCGTACACCAACATTTTTTCCTCTTGTTGGATGCAACATCCTAAAAGCTTAACTAGATTCCTGTGTTGAAGCCTAGCAATCAGGGTGGTTTCATTCTTGAATTCCTCTATTCCTTGTCCTGAACTTCTCGACAACCTCTTCACCGCTATTTCTCTGCCATTTGGGAGCTGACCCTGAATTAAGTTTCGGTTATTAGTAAAGTGCTTAATTGGCAACAAGTCATGCAAATGCCATCTGTTTGAATCAACTGCCCATTGATTTTAGGAGAAAATAACAATGAACAGGCAGTCAGTTCGGGAAATTTTTTTCAATTCCCCACAAAAAGGCCCCATTTCCAAGTATAACATTGATGATGCTAAATTAGAGACATGATGAAAATCACCTTAAAAACTGACCCGAAACCACCTTCTCCGAGTTTGTTAGTGGGAGCAAAGGAGTTAGTTGCTGAAACTATGGTTCTCAGATCAAATACATACATGTCTCCCGTTTCATCTATCTCATCTTTCCTTGGGGTGACTCCATATGATGACACCGGATCAATATTAAAACTATGCAGCTTCCTGTGATTCTGTGTTTGACCTGCATTTGTACACAAATGACTAGTTCATCAACTAGATCATCCAGGAGCATGGAAGAAGTGTACGCTACTGAAATGATCTTCTGAGAATGCAATCTCATCTGAATGTTTTCCTTTGAAAAGTGAAAAGGAAGTTCAGGTGATGTTAAAATCTTAAGTGATTTTGGAACAGGGAACAAGTCATTAGGATGCATTAGCAAGAAATCTTAGAAGAAAGAGGTTCAAAGCGTACTGCAAATCAGTTTAACTTTGTTCACCTTTGCGCTTCCTCAATGACAACCAGATCACAATAACTAACAATAGAACCCCAGAAATGGATGGTATCAGGATGATTATAAACTTTTTGCCATTCGATTCCTTTGTATTCTTCAGGTATTGAGCTGGAAAATGGAGTAGAACCGACTGTGATTAACGCAGATGTAATTTGCAAACCGTTAAAAGAAAATTGCCAAACAAATCAGGAATATGACTCCATTGCTTAAAGGAGGCAGTAATAATTGACAACCAATGGTTCATTTCATTCTCTCAAGCCAGCTAACAAAGTATACGAAGTTTTCAAATTTAAATCCTATTCACAAAAAATCAGAGCTCCAGTTTCAGAACATTCTCAGGTATGAAGAAACAAACAAGATAAATTAAGAGAGAGAGAGTGTGCCATGTCACCTAATTCAGAGGCTGAAACTCTGATATAAGCATCCTGGCCTCCATTTATGAACCTCCTTATATCTATCAGCTCACCATACCAGGTGATGCAACCACTTCCTCCATTGGTAACATTCGCAGTTGCGTATGCTGAGCACGAACAATTCTTTAAGCACAAATCAGCACATTCTTTCAATCCCAGAACCCGATCTACTTTCGCATTCCTAGTGTCTGGAACCTTAACAGATGTCAACTTTATGAACCCGACATCAGAACTACTATTTCCACAAATTTGTTCTCCAGGCTTTCTTGCACAGCCATTACTTGCATCCCTCAAACCCCATTCACTTTTGACTTTTGGTTCATAGCCGGGAAGACATTGACACTCAAATTTACTCCGATCATAAGGATCACAAACACTGAATGGACCGCAGTGGCTGTATTCGTCGCATTGGTCTCTTAGGGCTGTCCAAAAACTTGTCCACCTACGGTCCTGTTGCCATGTTAGCCTCTCCAGGGTCCCTGATTCGCTTAATGTCATCCTTGTAAAGATGGAGGGATCACGAACTCCATGGGTAAGACTCACTTCATCGGCATTCTCAACGTATTTAGGGATTATAATGAAGTTTGAATTCATGTCAGGCACCCCACTCCATCGAATCCCATTATAAGGTCCTGAACGCCATATTGCTTCAGAATCTTTGAGCAGAAATAACTGAGGCGAACCACTGAGAATCATTTCCAACAGAAAATCTCCAGTCCCCGGATCATCTTTCGACTTCCAAGATGTTAGGCTCCATCGCAAGCCAGTTCTTAGGTTTACCCCTTCTTTCATGTAAGGAAGATAAGTATCAGTTGGATAATCAAAGCTCTGCCATGAAATGATGCTTGTATTATTTTGGGGATAGCCTTGATGTAGCACCAAATTCCCTATATCCGTGAGCTGGACGAAAGAAGAATTGGCAGCAAAGGAGCCCGGAATGGAAACATTTGTAGACCAAATCAGCTTGTTGTGATTGCTCTGATCCCGAAGAACTAGATTTCCGGGATTTTCAATGGACAGAACCCCGTGGCTGTCATTGATGGGGCTATCCCTATTTGCAACCCAAACAACAGTTCGTTCTGAAACTTTGTTGAACCAAATTCCAACATACCGATTCTGGGAATTTCCTGGGCTGAAGAACCCAAAGGCGTAGGAATTTCCACTGGAAACTAATAAATCTCCATCTTTGAAAATCTGATTCTGTGTGATGGTGTCGCTGGAACTGCAATAATTGAATAGGAAACTTGAAAACAAGAATGTGATCATCCATAAGAACCTGTTCATTTGTAGCAGGTTATCTTAAGACTTGAGAAGTTGCAAGTTTGATTCTTTTGAGAACACCAGCTTACATGACAGACTTCAATCTTGACGCTTCTGCCTTTCTGTATGGTCTCTGTTTATGAAATGGATACTTGGGCAAATTGATTGACTAGTTTAAACTTGGTTTTTTAACTACTACTCCCTCTGTCCCAAAATTATTGTCCAGTTTGAGATTTCACTTTTAGTACAAATTGAACTAAAAATGAAAACTCAAACTGGACAATAATTATGGGACGGAGGGAGTCCAATGTAAGTTAAATAAAATCACTGTCATTTCAGGGCACTTGTGCAAATGGCCGGGTCTCAGATGTATACACTTCAAATCAAGGATTTGATTTTCATAAGAATCAGATGTCAATGAAGGAAAAATCAGAGAAAACAGAGTTGGTCTAATTTGATTAGGGCCATGAAAAATACAATAAACATAAACAGATGGAATTAGGAAGTCCACAAACTAAAGCCCATTCTTCACGGTTACTTGAGCGGTTGAGTTCACACTGAAATAACTGTTGCTTTCCCTCCCACTGATTAATCTCAGGCAGGACTGAGCTTGATCACCTTTCCGTTTAGTATCCAACTGATAGCGAAAATCATTACAAGCAGCCCTGCTGGTACTGATGTTACAAGGATGATTATCCACTTTTTTTGTGATCCGAATTCTTTTGATTCTTAAGATATTTTAGCTGCGGAAAAAAGAAATAGAAATGAAACCAGTAAATTTCAAAGCATGTCTTACTCATAGACTAAAGAATTTTCTTTTCTTTTTTTTTTTTTGGTTGGTTTCTTTTACTGGTATAGTACGCGCCATTTGTCTCGGCTAATCCAATTTCTAGCCGAGTAGGTATGGTCAGTCCTACTCTTTAAGGCTGTTAAATTAAGCAAAGAAAATTTCAATGCATTGTGCGACCCGGGTGGCGACCCGGAGACTCATCCACCACAGTCAGGTGTGTGACCCGGGTCGACCAATAGATTAATCGGGGCAAAGTTCTGGAAACCGTAGAAGGAAAAAAAAAAGAAGTTTCAATGCATTGACAGATTGACTCAGTCAAAGTTAGCATTTTTAAAAATTTAACGTGTATGGTTCCATTTTTTTTTTTCCACTTTGGCATGGACATCCAAACCCAAACTTTCTATCCTTCCTCAGCAGTCACTGTCAAGTGAATTCATTGATTCGGTTCTCAAGATATTGAATCAACAAAACCTATCATTTCTGGAATCAAGTCTCATTTTCCAACAACTTGAAATGGAATTCGTCTCCAAAAATGGTTTCAAGTAAAAGACTTTGCAATAGACATAATTATTATTTGGAAATTGAATCTTACCTAATTCGGAAGCTGTTAACTTTGACATAAACGTCGTGGCCGCCATATGAAAACTGCCTCATAATTATCAAGTCACCGTACCAAGTGATGCAGCAACTTCCACCATTGATAACATCAGCAGTTTGTATAAGCTATGACGAGTCCAGATCCATCACCTCCAATGGACCGGCCCACTACTTGGCTTTAGGGTTAAACCGTCCCGGATATGGCAGTGTATTATTACTAACCCTAGTAATAATCGGATGTCTCCCAGGTCTATAAATAGGAACCCTTATTCCACGCTAAAGGTACGCAATCTTGACTATCAAATCAATACAGACATAACCCTATTTTCTGACTTAAGCTTCAGAGTATCTACCCTCGGGAGACGCCCGAGGCTCTGTTTTGTAGGAAACCCTAGTTGGAGTTTCACCCTACATCGGCGGTACAATTCCAGGTATCGTCAATTGGCACGCCCAGTGGGACCCGAAAACTAGGGTTTGTGTCATCAAGCTTTCTCAAGCTTTTCGAAACCTTTCAATCCGCTTCCAGTGCTTCCAGGACACAATCAGTGGAAAGAAGGATGGTGGAGGTTGACAGTCCCCAATCCAGTGCTGCGTCGACTGGAAGACAAACAAGTCCCCAGGATGGCGAAACTCTGGCACACTTCCGATGGAGGCAGAAACGGAAAAGGAACAATCGACGAACCAAGAAAGAAACCAACCCCATCAAGACGACCGATCAGAATCGTCACCATGAAAACCCTGATCCACACCAGAAACAACGGCTGGCCGAGATCGAAGCGGAACTGAAAAAGTTGAAAGATGATAACTCCCTTAACCAAAGGAAAAAGAAATATATCCTCGAAGAATATAAACGCTACTGTTTGTTAGGCCTTCCAGATCCAATGGAACAAGAGATGGAGGAGTTAATCGAGGAAAAAGAGGCAAGAAGGACTCTAGACCTCCTCGAGATCAGAAGAGGCATACGTCCGGCCCCAAAGGAAGGGGAGGAGAGAGCTCGCAAAGAAACTCCCTATTATGAGGTTTCTTGTGCTGAACCTTCCGAAACCCCCGGTGATACTTTCTGGGAGGCACTCGAGAGGACAAACCCAGTGGTTTATCAGGCGATTCAGCAGTTTGCACTGGAACATGAACAGAAGAGACAATTTCACAAACAAGATCGACGACGATCACCTAGCGTCGAGGAATTGTCTAAAAGAGAGTGGGAACCCCTGAAAAACAATGTCCATTCTCGAGTGAGACCAAAAGGGACGTAGGAAAAATCTCGTCATGACAATCGTCGAGAAGACCACCCACCTCGAAATCAAGATAATCTGGGCAATCAGGATCCCTCGATTCGAGACTCAATGCAAAAGATGATAGGGATGATCGTGGACAGAAGTCCTTTCATCCCCAGGATTCGAGACTGTCCGAAACCTAAAGATTTTGACTTCCCCAAAGACTTCACCTATTATACAGGGGATTCTGATCCGCAGCAATTTCTCAACAAATACGTACAAGTCATGAGAATTCGTAACGCATCTCTGGACTTCATGGCAAAAGCTCTACCATCGTTCCTCGACGGGCAGGCGCAACGTTGGTTTGGACAGCTGCCGGAGGGAAGCATCGACAGCTTTGAGGATCTCACGGTAAAGCTAGCCACCAGGTTTTTCCTCAGCAAGCAAGTCACAAAAATGTCCATTGACCTATCCTCCATAAGACAAGGACACAACGAGAGCCTTTCCGATTTCCATCGCCGCTTTACCCGCGAATCTCTCTAAATTGACAATCTCGATGACAGAGACGTAAGGAATGGCTTCATCCAAGGACTTAATCCCTGGGGGAAGTCCGCCCCCCTACGAGTAAAATTAACCACTAAACCTCCACGGAACACTCAAGAGATGTGGGCCACGGTGGAGAGTTATATCCAACGGAAACAAACACTGAAAAATTCCCAAGAGTCTTTCTAACTTGCAGGAGAGCAAGGGGGAAAGGACAGGTATAAATCTCAGACTGAAAACAAACCTTCACTGCCCAGGCTCGACAGGTTACTGACTCCACTGATAAAGCCTCGACGGGAAATACTCCAGATCCATAAGGACAAGTTTCCAACCCCAAAGACATTGACCCCTAACCCGAATAGGTCCACGAATCAGTATTGTGAGTACCACAAGGACCACGGACATGACACGGAGGATTGTCGAGAGCTCAAGCGAGAAATTAAAGCAGGAGTGAAGTCTGGTAGATTCCAACAATACGTGCAGAACACACAAGGCACCGCTCGAGGAGATACCCGCAGTTCTAGAGAAAAGCCCGGCGCTTCTTGTAACTTCCCCAGGCGAAACAGCAATCGGGGTCCTCGAAGAGACTACCGAGGAAACAATTGGCAGCCGAGGGATAACTCACAGCAACTGGCCCAGCCAGCCCTCGATAACAAGCCGCAGCCAATACAGCAAATACCTCCCCTCGATCCTGCCAAGCAGATTACCCACAATGTCGGGGCGATTTATGGAGCACCTCTCGAAGTCTTCTTAACCATAGCCATGAAAGCCTCTCTTCGACAGGTAACAAAAACCCCACCGCAAGAGCCAAGTCATAAGTGGTTTAAAGGAACCGAGGCAATTGTCTTCACTGATAGTGACGTCGTCCCCAGTGTGTGTCCCCACAGTGATGTCATGGTTATCGAGGCCATCATAGGCAACGTGGGGGTAAGTCGCGTGTACGTCGACAATGGCAGCGCGGTTGACATCATCTATAATGATTGTTTCAAGAGGATGAACGTACAGAATCCAGATTGGCGCCCGGCTACCTTACCATTAATGGGATTCTCTGGGCACACGATAATCCCAAGTGGGATCGTCAGGCTTCCAATCACGGTAGGGACGTATCCTCGAACGGTAAATCTAACAATGGATTTCTTCATAATCGATGCTCCCTCGCCATTTAATGTGATTCTAGGACGGCCGTGGATGTGCCAAGCCCGTGCTGTCTAGTCACCTTATCACTTGGTCATGAAGTTCCCAACGGAATACGGGGTAGGCGTAGTCCAAGGGTGCCAACGAAGCTCTCGAGAATGTCTTCTCACGGCAGTAAAAATCGGGAAAAAAATAGTAAAGCCGGAGCTGGCAGTTGCAGCTTCAGGGTGCTACACGATTCGGCAAGGTGTGTCGAAGGTCGAGGGCAACCAGAGGAAGTAGGAGATCCCGGACATCGACCCCGATCAAAACTCCTCGCTCAGCAGCAAGACGGAAGAATTGGTATTAGATGAAAAAGAGCCAGGAAAAACCATCAAACTGGGGATATCTGTCGAGGGAGCATTGCGGACCGAAATAATCGCCTTGTTACGGGACTTTCGGGACATCTTCGCGTGGTCGCCATCCGATATGACTGGAGTTCCTTGACATATTATCGAGCACAAACTGAACCTGGATCCAAATGTTAGACCAGTCAAGCAAAAGAAGAGGGTTTTTGCTCGAGATCGTAATGATGTGATTAACGAGGAAACCCTCAAGCTGGTCCGAGCTAATATCCTGAAAGAGGTACTCTGGCCAACCTGGTTGGCCAACCCGGTCCTCGTTCGCAAACCTGACAATTCCTGGCGCATGTGCCAAGATTACACTGATCTAAACAAGCACTGCCCGAAAGACTGCTAC